CAAGTTAGCATGTATCCCACTTTTTGGTCACATGTTTATGATTTCTATTTTAGGGAGTCTGATTTCAGTCTATATTTCACCTGCTTGAGTAATGTAAAATAAGTTTTTCTGATTAAAAATTACTTGTTTTTTTAAATACATTTTTATTTATTTCAGAGAGGAAGGGAGAGAGGGGGAGAGATAGAAACATCAGTGATGATAATCATTGATTGGCTGCCTCTTGCATACCCCCTATTGGGGATCAAGCCTGCAACCCAGGCATGTGCCCTTGACTGGATCAAACCTGGGACTTCTCATTCCATAGGCCAACACTCTATCCATTGAGCCAAACTGGGTATGGCACAAATTACTGACTTTAATAGCTTATTTAATAAACTAGAGGCCCGGTGCATGAAATTTGTGCACGGGGCCTGCCAGCCTGATCACCCCCTAACCACTCCCCTGCCAGCCTGATTGATTCTTAATTGCTCCCCTGCCAGCCTATTTGCCCCTAACTGCCCTCCCCTGAAGGCCTGGTCCTCCAACTGCTTACCCCTACAGGCCTGATCCCTCCCAACTGCCCTCCCCTGCTGTCCATCTTGTGGTGGCCATCTTGTGTTCACATGGGGGCAGAATCTTTGACCACATGGGGGCAGCTGTCTTGATCTTGGAGTGATGGTCAATCTGCATATTACTCTTTTATTAGATAGGATAGAGGCCTGGTGCATGGGTGGGGGCCAGTTGGTTTGCCCTGAAGGGTGTCCTGGATCAGGGTGGGGGTTCCCTTGGGGCATGGGCGGCCTGGGTGAGGGGCCCATGGTGGTTTGCAGGCCGACCATGCCCCCCAGTGACCCAAGCGGATCTGGGATTTATCTTCTACAATTGAAACTTTGTAGCCTAAAGCAGATGGACACAGCCATTTCTGTTGGAATTTATTTACCTTCCATAATTGAAACTTTGTAACCTTAAGCAGAGGCCTGGGCCAGCAAGGGCAGGCAGAAAGCTTAGCTTCCTCTGTTGCCAGGAAAACCCAAGCCTCCCTCCTGCTCTCCGTAGCCTCAGCCATCTTGGCTGGATTTATTTGCATATTCACTCCTGATTGGCTGGTGAGCATGGCTTTGTGGGTGTAGTGAAGGTATGGTCAATTTGCATATTACCCTTTTATTAGATAGGATAGTAATCAAAGGCCCACAAGACCTTGTATTGGACCTCAGATGCAGTGGGGGATGAAAGAAAGACCATCACCCCTGTCCCCATGGCATTCTAGGACAGAGGTAACAAATCCAATATCCTATCATGTGTGTTTTTTACAGTGAAAAGTTTCAGAAGTTCTACTAAATGTTAATATTTCTTTAGTAATTAAGGATCTGATTTTATTGTTTACTTTTTAGGTCAGTAACCTACCCTAGACCAGACCCCAATTTTAACAGAACTAGTTCTAATTTGTTTTTTAGTTAGTTAACCTTTCCTTTCAACTGCAAGTTTACTTTATAAGAAAAACCTAGAGAAACATTCCAAATGAGAATGTCTTAACCAGTGTCCTTCCAAAGGCAATCTTACCAAACTGTAAAACTTTCCAGTTTTTCTGCTTAAAAGCTGTAACATCACCAAAAAATAAAAATAAAATCTGCTCAGAGTAAGAGTTCCTCTTTCCTGGCCGTGGGGGGCCTTGCCTGTGGGCAACCACCTAACAGCATGTGAAGCTGTGCCTGGTTTGGCCGAGGCCAGGGATTGACATTTGATAACTCCACCTAGTTAAGTGGAGTTACCAAAAAAGGTGGGATGGAGACCTGTCAGCCTCTTTTCCCTTTTCCCCTTCATCTCCTTGTCCCTGAAAGTAATCATCCTGTTTTACTCAACTGGGCCAAGACAAGTTCTCTGAGGCTAAACCTGGGAGCCATTCCTGGAAGAGGCTCCGTCACCAGCACCCAGAGGACCTATTTGCTGGGGGTAGAAGCCAGGATAGGGCAGAAACCATGCCCTCCCTCCATCAAGCCAACCTCTTTTTTTTTTCTCTTTTAATATATTTTATTGATTTTTTTACAGAGAGGAATGGAGAGGGATAGAGTTAGAAACATCGATCAGCTGCCTCCTGCACATCCCCACCAGGTATGTGCCCGCAACCAAGGTACATGCCCTTGACCGGAATCAAACCTGGGACTCTTGAGTCTGCAGGCCGACACTATCCACTGAGCCAAACTAGTTAGGGCAAACCAGCCTCTTATAGGCCTGCCCAAACATCTCCTGTTGAAGATGTGAAACATGAATCTGTTATAAAGGTAGATAGTTAAATGCAAGTCTGGTAGGCTCTGTAAATAAATAACGTGCCAATCTACATGCATATCAGTGCCGGGGAAGGGAGGGGGAGTCTCTGTCCTATTGTATGTTTGTCAGATCTATATCCTAAATTTCTTCCCATACTTCTAAATTTATCATCAAACCATGTTCTGTGTAGGCAGTACAATTTCTGTGTTTAAAAGACAAACTGAGAATTGACTGTTGCTTATAGACAAGAAATGGGACTGAGTAATTTTAAGAGTATTCATTATTCTTTTTCTGAAAGTCAGGGAGACACTAGCTTTGACGCTGAGATTAATAGAGAGATGTGGGTTTTTGTTTTCTTCTTTGTTTATTTTATTTTATTTTATTTTTAAGAGAAATTAATATATTGTTTTCCTTTTTTAATATTTTATTGATTTTTTTTTACAGAGAGGAAGAGAGAGGGATAGAAAGTTAGAAACATCGATGAGAGGGAATCATCGACCAGCTGCCTCTTGCACACCTCCTACTGGGGATGTGCCCGCAACCAAGGTACATGCCCTTGACCGGAATCGAACCCGGGACCTTGCAGTCCGCAGACCGATGCTCTATCCACTGAGCCAAACCGGTTTCGGCTTAATAGAGAGATGTGGGTTTTTGTTTTCTTCTTTGTTTAGATTTCTTGACTAAAACTTTCACTTCACAGACTTTGAGTTTGGGTAACATTTTTCCTTCTCTGTGGCTGGTAGTTTTGTCAGAGTACCTGTAACTTATGTCAGAGCGTAGACTGGCATGCCCTGAGTGTCAGGATACCTAACTCAGGGACATGTTGGGGAGTTTGTGGATATTATTCAGAGGGTCCAAGAATTAGGGAACATTATCTTTATTTTTCTAAAAGCTAGATTTTGAAATTCAGTTTCTACTGGTAACAAAGACAGTCAGTCAATGCTAATACCAGTCAGACATTTTTATAACATGCTTCAGTTGTTGGAGACATCCCAAAATATTACTTGTGTTCATCACTATTTCTATTTCAGATTTGTTTCTTAACATTTTGATATCTGTTTCAAAGTCATTGGCATCCTTTGTAATTCTGTATAGACAAACATTACTTAGAAGAATCTTATGCTTTTCCTCGTGTGTGTTCTCTCTGCCTGTGACACCTTTGTCTCTTCTGCAGCATCAGCCACTACGTGATTGTCATGTGCCTGAGCATCGTTCTGGTGTTTCTCAACGGCCTGGCCCAGCTGCTCACCACAAAGAAACTCAGAGTGTATGGCCAACCTAAAAGCCATCTCATATGACAACACCGAAGCATCCTTCTGCATCTGGGTCCTGTTTCTCATTCTCTTTTGAAACTAAAAGCTTATCAAGGATTCAGAAGGAAGATGGTTTTTGATGTGTGGTACATTCTGCTCCTATAAAGAAAATTACACATGGAATTCTGAACCTACAGGTTGTCTGGAATAAAGGAACTTCCATTTTCTTTAGTTTCTGCATGTGTTAAATTTAAATAGTGATTGTGGAAAGCCCAGTAAAGCATTCTCTAGGCTTCTGTTTTCCCTTGAGCTGGCAGCTCTTCTTTCTGACAGTTCAGAGCACCTGTAACCATCTGGTCCCCAACCTTACGGCTCTCCCCCCCCCCCCCCCCCCCCCATATCAGCAGAGGAGAAGCACTCCTGGGCAGGCCTCCCCATTGCTTCCCAAATCGGTGCAAGGGCTGAACCTGATCGAAATCTCCAGGTGGCACCATCAATATTTATCAAGTCTCAGAACTGGTTTTGCAAATCATTCAAACTACTAAACTGTAACACCAGGAAAACTATCAGGGTGTGTTATTTAAATTTACTAAAAATTCCCTAGAAAACAATGTTTGCAGGTGTTTGTAATTTTTAATTTTTCTTCAGAATACAGCAATGTTATCTTAAACATCTTACTGCTGTTTCTAGGGTTTTCAAAGTCAGCTATCTAGATGCAGGTTTGACCTTCACTTTTTTCTTTTTCTTTTTCTTTTTTTGTTTTCTTCTTTCTTTCTTTTTTAAATTTCTGGATTCTCATGGAATTCCTGGAGATAGAAAAGTAGAAAATGTTTGGTGTTTGTGTCTTATCCATTGGGGGGAACACAGAAGGAGTTGTTTTTAATTATAGATTCAGTATTTGTTAACACCATAACTTTTACCCCATGCATTGTTTCTGTAGAATTCTTTAAATTCACGGTTAAACTTTCTGACAATATTATACGAATCAGAGTTAAAATTGCTTCTCTTTCTGTTTGTGAGATTCTAGCCCAAAGGCCTAAATTCCTCTAATTAAATTTAAATTTCTATTTGTAAACTAATCCTTATGGACCAAATATTTTGAGAGTAATTTTTATTTGGCTTTTTCATAAAGGGACCTTTGCATGTCACTGTAGAGTTGTTCTTTTGTCCATGGTATGTCAGTAGATTTTGGCTAGTACTAAGTTTCACTGGTCTGAGTCCCATTTTTATTTTTTTATTTTTTATTTTTTTAAACATGACAGTGTTTTATATATATATATATATATATATATATATATATATATATATATATATATTGATTTTTTACAGAGAGGAAGAGAGAGGGATAGAAAGTTAGAATCATCGATCAGCTGCCTCCTGCACACCCCTTACCGGGGATGTGCCCACAACCAATGTACATGCCCTTGACCGGAATCGAACCCGGGACCTTTCAGTCCCCAAGCCGACGTTCTATCCATTGAGCCAAACCGGTCTCGGCCTGCGTCCCATTTTTAAAAAATAATTGCTTTTGAATTAAGTTATAGCATTTCTAATTCACATTAATGGGGAGGAAGCCCTCTGCAAATAAAGTTTTCAGATTGACAGATTAGTGAACGAATACAATTTAGAAGATTCAAAAATCAGCTTGGCAGTATGCACTTTCTTAATATCTGTTTATGATGAAGTATAATTATAATTTATTTATGATAGTTCTTCATGGTATACCAGCAAAAGCATTACAGTATAAAAGAAAAGAAAGGGGTATTTTTGTCATTGTATGACCTCATGTCTCAGTTTGCACTGTAAAATCTAGGTGGATCACTTGAGGCCTGTCAGTGGCAATGACATTGGCAGAGAACCACAAACTTCCTCATTGTCTCAAAAGATTTTTAACCAGTTTTTCCACAACTCAGAGAAAACGGACTTTATAAACACTTAACTCTTTTTATATCATTTTTGCCTTTTCCTTTTCCCAGATTTTCAGAGGAATTAATGAATATCTTATTACAACATTATAAAAGGTGCTTGGAGCTTTATTTTGCTTTTCACAGTATACGTTTGTCTTCATATTGTTTTGACTCACAGTGAGTTTACAAAGCAGGAGCCCATGCCTACAGCGGGGGGCTTGCCTTGCTGCACTGTCTGTACCCCTCAGAATCCCCTGAATATTAGATGGGCCTTTTCTGTTGCTCAGTTTATCAATAGTTTAAACTGTTTTTTGAAATGCTTATTTTTGTATTAAATAAAAGAAAAATAAAGAAGAGATAAGTAAAATGTATTTTTGTTTAAGGCATTTACATTTTCATTTTGACTATGAGTACCAGATTTCCAAATCAAGACTTACATATTCACTGAATAACACTCTTTAAATTAAGAATTGCTGTAAGAATTTAAGTGGGGGTACCTATCCAGTTAGGAAAATATTGAACCACAAAAAAAGCCATGCTGTGTCCCATGCACCGAGACTAAATCTTGGAGGACACCCTAAAGTCTTAGGAAGGTAACTGCAACCTGTCCATAACCTACCAAATAGATGACATAATAAAAAGGATTTTCTGATCAAATATATTTGAGAAACACCGAGTCAAAGTTAAACAGGTGTATTTATGGTAGTACTTAGGGATTTAAGTTCGTATATGCATTGAGATAGCAAGATGCCAAAAATGCCCACTTGCTTGACCACAGACCCTACGTACCTCAGAGTCTCCCTTCCAACTGGTAAACACTTCAGAAATGTCCCCATATAATAATTTTGCACTTAAATTTCCAGTTTATCATACTGTTTTGAAAAGAGGCTGTTGTATGCTTAGTTGAATCTTGTTTTCCTGAGAGCTGGAAAACTATTTTCATTTTTACCCTTATTATGGGAAAACTTTAAAATGTACTAGCAAGTTTCCCTGCCTCTCTCTAAATTATGCCTATTCTCATCTGGTCATTCCTGCTGGGACCTTCAGTACATCCTCAGCAGCCCTGTTAGAATTTGTGCCAGGCATTGGTCTAACTGCTTTATAAGTGCTAACCTATTTAATCCCTATAACCTGTGAAGGAGATTATACCATTTTACAGATGGGAAAAGTAAAACACCGGATGATTATGAATAACTTGCCCAAGATCCCCACCACGAGTAGGAGGCTTAAAAAAAAATTGATTATCCCTAACATTCTATTCTGGAATCAGCACAAGAGCATTTGCGGATTTTTGCTTCTGAAAATGTAGTCACTGTGCCTAAGCAGCTGATGTGAAAACTAGACTTTTTCAGTTGTGTGCGGGTAACCAAGTGTAAATGGTATAACTAGGAAAATATACTTTTGAAGTTGCCTATGTGTATACAAATGGCATGGGGCTGGCACCAGATCCTTAACATTCATTTGAGGCATGATGTCAGCTGCTTCCAAATGGCACATAAAGCGAAAGGAGAAGGGTTTCCTTCCTTTTGAAAGGAAGTGAATATTGGCTATCTGTTTTTAAGCACTTGTACATTTTTTGAAGGCCTAGATGCCCAGAGTACACTTAGTATAGTGGCTTGAATGGTACACCCCCAAAAAGATATGTCCACATTCTAACCCCAGAACCTGTGAATGTGACCTTATTTGGAAAAAAAGTCATTGCACATATAATTAAGGGCCTTGAGATGAGATTGTCCTGGGTTATCCAGATGGGTCATAAATCCAGTGACAAGTATCCTAATGAGAGAGGGAAGAGGAAAATATACAGATGCAGAAACGGCCATATGATGATGAAGACAGAGATGGGAGTGATGCTGCCACAAGCCAAGGAACATGGAGCCACCAGAAGCTGGAAGAGGAGGAAGCATCCTCCCTGAGAGCCTTCTGAGTGAACACGGCCCGGCCAATTCCTTGACTTAGGACTTCTGCCCTGGGACTGTGAGAGGATACATTTCCATTTGTTTTAAGCCACCCAATTTGTGATAACTTCTTGAGCAGTCCTTTTTTTTTTTTTTTTTTTTTCATTGATTTTTTGAGAGAGAGAGAGAGAGAGAGAGAGAGAGAGAGAAACAAGCATTGATTTGTTATTCCACTCATCTATGCTTTTATCAGTTGTTTCTTATATGTGCCCTGACCGGAATCAAACCCAAAACTTTGGTGTATCAGGATACGCTCTAACCAACTGAGCTACCTGACCAGGACCAATAATGTCTTAGGAAGCACACATTTGGGGATGTTCAGAATCATCAGCTATGTTCTGATGGGATGACTAGCTCATCATTACTAGGTCACAAATTTGAGTACCCTAGTTCAATTCACCCTGTTCTGTGAATATAAAAATATTTGCACATAAAACTGAAGGTAGTTCATTACTCTTTCATGTCTGCATTGCTGATGATTTGGCTTTTTCTGGAACATTCTTGCCCTATTTTCCTGGAAGTAGTAAAAAGGTCCTTCCTGTTTTCCCTTCAGTATTTTTGGTATCTACGTGTCAGGACTTGAAATGAGAAAGCTGAAAGCTGGTGTTCAGTCTGATTGTCTTTTCATGTTGCCCTGAGGGGCTTGATGGAGAAGAACCACCCTCCCCTCCGCTGCCGCGTCCCTGGCCTCGTTCAGAGGAACTTTCCCACAGCAGCCCTGCACACGAGGCCTCCGAGCGTTGATCCAGACTTGGCATAGATCAGACAGACGTGCCACCGCAGGCCCGTGACAGGGCCCGGCACTCTCACAGGAACATTCTCTGGGCCTGGAGTGAAGCCTTCCTTTGTTAAGCTGTGAGTCTTGTATAATGTTAACTGACATTCTGCTTTATAAGATCTTATCTCATGTCAGTCTGCTGGCGGCAGCTGCTATCCTAAGAATTCCAGGACCTCGGAGGCTGGCCAAACTCTCCGGGACCTGAGATGGAAGAATAATGAGGTGAGGGCCTGTTAGCCATCCCCATGGGTCTCTGCATTTGAGAGCTTGTGTGATGGGCCCCTGGTCCCTTTCATTTGTCCGGTAGACCTGCTCCTCCAGGAGGCTGCTGACTCAGAGACAGAGCTGGCTTCAGGCATTGGGCCCAGGGCAGTGAACAGTGTGACTCCTGTTGCTGCACTGGCTGTTTAACTAAAGGCCGGTCAGTGCCATTTCCTGCAAAGGCCTCTGATCTCTCTCCCCATTTCTGGTTGGTCTTCCCCTATCCCCAGCCCCCAGCTTTTGTGACTGGCAATTTGAAGCTCTGGCCTTGCTCTTGAAAATATCTTGAGGTGCAGCAGTCACCAGTACTGCTACACCCCATTCCCCACCTCATCAAATTCAACTTTTGCAAATTGAGCCAGTTGAACTGGCTGTCAACAGAGCGATACATTTTTCTTCAAGAAAAATCACTTCCTTTCATGCATTTACCATCCCTCTTTCTGTAACTCCCTTCATTAAGCTCTTGTCTGTCCCCTCTGAGGTTGGATTAAGGGACCTACAATGGTTAGAGATCCCACTCTGGCTTTACAATCACCCTCTCCTCAGGCTCTGCAGGTGGACAGAGGAGTTAGTGAGAGCATGAGAAGAGAGAGGGGCATCCAGTGGGTTCCCTGGACCAGTTTACCCAAAAGGGTCTGAAAAAAATGAAAAATGGTCAAGAGTTATCAGAAGAATGAACGTTCCTCTCCTTCCTCAAGTGCTACTTCCTGCCCCTTCCTGTCCCAATCAAAAGTGTGTGACTGCACAGGAGGAAGACCTGTAGAAAGCTCATGGGAATGATCTTTGCAAGGTCACCAGCGGCCCCACGTGGCCCCACCAGTGGCTGTCCCTGTCTGGGTGGTGCTTGACCTCCCTGTGGCCTTTGCCTCTGGAGACCATCTAGAGTTATATGTTGGTGCAGTTTGCACTTGGAGAGACCATGGTGCTCACCTCCTGGTCCCAAATATGGGCGCATTGACTTGCTGTTGGGGGGATGGGGTATGTTGCTATCAATGAAGATGATTCTCCTTTCTCCTTCTGAGGGTAATTTCCTTAGTTGGGAAGCAAACCCCAAAGCTTGGCCTTGTTTGCTCCATATTCTTTTTTATATATATATATATTTTATTGATTTATTCACAGAGAGGAAGAGAGAGGGATAGAGAGAAACATCGATGAGAGAGAATCATCGATCGGCTGCCTCTTGCACGCCCCCTACTGGGGATGTGCCCGCAACCAGGTACATGCCTTTGCCCGGAATCGAACCTGGGGCCTTTCAGTCCGCAGGCCGACGCTCTATCCACTGAGCCAAACCGGTCCTGGCTCGCTCCATATTCTAAGGAGCTAAGAAAACAAAATCAAACAGCTATTCTAAAAGGAACAGTGGCATCACTTACTTTGGAAACGCCAGTGACTTTGTAGGTTTTCATATTGTCAAAATGGCTCTGAATTCTTATCCTTTATTGCACAATGCTTTTCAGTTAGAATAATTAGAATCATGATATAGCCAAGGAAGAGTATAAGCTTGTTCTGAAACTTTTAAGCAGAAAATTCCTCAAGCTTTGTCAAGGCTATTTTTTGCCTGCTACTACCACCTAAATAATTGCATTTTCTTTAATTAAAATATTTGCAAAGTCCTTTCATTTCTTCTGGGGGGGTTTTTAGAGCAGATGAATCCAGGCGTCTTCAAACTACGGCCCTCGGGCCACATGCGGCCCGCAGAGGAGTCTGATCCGGCCCGCCAGGTTTTTTTGGGCAGTGAGCGCAGCCGAGGTGTTACAGTAGGAATCAGTAGTTCATATAGTCCGGCCCTCCAGCTCTCTGAGGGACCGTGATCTGGCCCCCACTTTAAAAAGTTTGAGAACCCCTGGTAGATGGTCTAAGCCTGTCCAAAGATGGTTGATTTATGCTTTCAGGCTTGCGACACCTTAGAAGGAGAATCAAGTCCATCGAATCCCTTTGTTGTACTGATGCTACTTTGAATCTCTGCTATTACCATTGGCAGAGAGATGCCCCAGAAGGACCAGGTCCATAAAAGCAGGTGGCACCTTGTCAGGTATTGTCATCACCATCATTGTCATTGGTAGAAATGGGGCAAGAATTGGAAGAGGCTCTCCCAGCCATTCAGCAGGATCCCTGTAGATTGTAGACTCGTGGGAGCAACAGCCTGGGGCACACAGACTAAGGGATGCTATTGGAAATGTACTATGTGCTGTTGGGGGGGAAGTGGATTTAAATAGGAATAACTATGGCCTTATTGTCTTTTTCAAAGCTCATCCCTCATCCCTCGGGGAAAATCCTTCTCATGCCACACTGTCTGCACATTTTCAGTAGTTATGGCTCCACACTGGTCTGTGATGACAAGGGTGTCACCTCCTTCTTACCTCTCTGGCAACTTCTGATGGGCCTGTCAAGTCTCCAAAGCAAATTCCTACTGGAATGTCTGGACAGTGGCAGTAACAGACCCAGAATGATGGAGGTTATTGGGATTCTCTGTGTGAAGGGAGTACATTGGGTACTTTTTGACGTAATAATAGACATTTTAAAAGTAGATTCCTTTCCAACTGGGAAGGTTTGGTTGTTTTTCTCTGCTCTTGTGTCGGTACCATTGATCATCCTGGGTCTTGCTCACATTGGCTTCTCAGACCTCTTGTTTTACTGAGCAAAGGGTTAACAAAGGGGTGATGTAGGAAAGGTGCTTGCCTATCAGTCTAGCCTGGGGAACAAAGATCATAGGCTGGGGGTGAGGAGGGAGATAGGGCCACGGCAAGCCCAAAAAATCCTGAAGGCTTAATTGTTATGCTCCTAGTTAAAATCTCCAGAGACAAAGAATTCCCTTTCATCTCTCTCTCTCTCTCTCTCTCTCTCTCTCTCTCTCTCTCTCTCTCTCTCTCTCTCTCTCTCTCTCTCTCTCTCCTCTTGTGCTCACTTACCTGCACTCACTGTGTACCTCCACAGCCACGCAGCCTGAAACAGGCACATCGTCATGCAGACTCCACACTCAGTGGACTACAGCTGGGAACACAAACTGAGCTAAGCCAGATTAGCCAAATGCTACACTGAATGTGCAAACATGGAGTGGAAACTCTGGGCAGAGGCTGTAATCCTAGCCTGCGGAAGACAAAAGAGACTTTTTCAGTGGTGGATGGAGGAAGATGGAACCTTGGAAGGGAAACCTATTAATGTTGCCTCATCAATAAGCTTTCCATGACTACTCTTCCTCCCCTTGTGGCCTATTTCTGTGGCACCTCAAGAGGCCCTCTTCTGCCAGCAACAGGTAGGGACTCAGAGGACTCCCCACCGATAGCACTTTCAGCACCAAGTTTGTAGTGATTTGTTAACAGCAGCCCCTGGAAAACAATACGTTTACCATTTCCTCTACAGTAACCCTGCTTCAGAGCCCCATCGTCTCTTGCTTGGACTGCAGCTTCCTGTCCAACTGGTCTCTCTGCCTCAGGCCTTGCCCCACTCCCTGAGGTCTTGCAGCCAGAGGGACCCTTTAAAAATATAAGTCAAATCACATTAGTTCTTTTTCAGAAACCCTTTGGTGACTCCCATCTCATATAGAGTAACACCCACCATTCTCAGACTACTGAGCCTACTTCATTTGGTACCTTTTTACTTGTCTGATTTTACCTCTGACATGCCACTGTAGTAACAGTAACTTCCTTGATGTTCCTCAAGCATACTAGCTATGTCCTGTCTCTTGCTATTCCATCTGCTTGCATTGCTCTCCCCTCCTTCCCATAGCCACATGGCTTATTCCTTCACCTGGCAGATGAGACCTTCTTTGACCACTTCTGAGAATACCAACCCTCCAACCTCACTCACTTGTATGTCCTAGTCCTCTGCCGCCCAGGCCAGGCCTTTAGCTATAATCTTACTTCCCCATTCTGACTAACTTAGGTAGGGCTGCAAAAGCCCAGAAGTAAGGAAACAAAGTAATCTCATGTATAAGTTGTTCAGGCTTTGGATCTTCAAATCCCCTGAGCCAGCAGCGCTGCTTTAAATAAAGGGCTTTTTCTGAATCTCCGGGTACTCGTGTATTTTCCGGTCGCCTGGTAAATTCTTCAACCCTTCCTCCATGGTGCACATTAACTTCTGACATATATTTTCTTGCTTGGCTGTTCAATTGTCTATCCTCCCTGTGAGAATAGGATGACTGAGGTTGGTTTTTTTTTTCACAGTTGTGTCTCCGGTGGCTAGAAAGGGCTATGGCACATAATGGATGCTGAAGAATATTTGCTGAAGAATAAATGAACCCAGCATCCCAAGTTAGTTTTATATGTACAAACATTTATTCCATTAAAAGGTCATGCACTGAATTGTAATAAGCAATCACTGAACTCATTCCTTGATTTCATTCATATTCTCTGGAGACAGGATGCTTCCCCTTTTCCAAATGTCACTCTGGTGAGCCACCAAACCAAATGTTGGCTTCGGTTGTGATGGGACTCTCGTGCATTCCAGAAAGGGAGGCCTTCTCTCCACCTCCAGGTTTCCCAGCCCCCCTACTTTAAAATGGAAGGAAGGGATCCAGTGGAAACTTGGTATTCCTTTAAAGGGCGTTTCCAATCTAACAGTCCTTGACCCCAGCTGTGGGTTTAATAAACTACATCTGCCTCATTCATCCCCCCAGCTCTGTGGTCCCTCTCTTCTAATTCCTCTCCCCACTCACTTCCTGTCACAGCAACAACTTCAGAATTAAACTCCAATTCTAAAACAAATGAAGCAAGGCAGGAAGACAGAATACGGAAATGAATCACAGGCATATGGGAACAGTTTTGTTTGAAAGCATGAACAGCAGTCTTTGCAAACAAGCTGTGGCCATATGTAGGGGGAAGGTGTGGGGGAGTGTTTAAAATACAAGTGATAAACTATGATAAATGTCGGAGTTATAAAGAGAAAGCTCACTAATGATTGGTTTGGATATAAGAAGTGCTAGCTTGAAGCTACCATTACTAAAGAGAAAAGATATTTCTGTATTTTTTTTTTTTAAATCAAAAGCTCCCTCAGGGGTACCCTGTGGTGAATTAAAATTCTTTTTGTTTTTTTTTAAAGAAACCTGGTTTTATTTAAGAGAAGAAGGGAGAGGGGAGAGAGAAACATCAATAATGAGAGAGAATCATTGATCTCCTGCCTCCTGCACACCCCCTATTGGGGATCAAGCAGGAACTTGGGTAAGTGCCCTGACCAGGAATTGAATCATGACCTCCTGGTTCACAGGTTGATGCTCAACCACTGAGCCACACTGGATGGGCTGAATTAAAATTCTTACCATGTATTAGCAAAGAAACTATGGACAATTGTTTGACACTTGTTTCTTGGCTAAAACCTAGGTCATTTGAATTCAAATGTATTGGTATAACCATTAGAAAGTTATTCTTAGAACCAGATCTATTGCCTCTAAGTTCTTATTCCTAAGGAAGAAAGATGTGTGTGTGTGTGTGTGTGTGTGTATGCACACGCGTGCTCGCACACAAGCGTGTGTCTTTTATTGACTAACCCACTTAATACTATTTATTTAGTCTGACCAAGTGCCAAGCACAGTGCTAAGCACTGGGTGTTCGATGGTGAGCAAAAACTCTGCATATTAGGTGGTAAGCAAAAATCATTTCAGTTCCTCCCTCATGGAGTTTATAGTCCAAGGGGAACATAGTAATTAAATAGTCATGCAAACAAATGAAAATAACAGCTGTGGTTTATGCTACCAAGGAGAGCAGTGGTCTGTGATTCTGTGATAGGTGGATGCCTGACCTAGTCTGGGGAATCAGGAAAGGCTTCCCTGAGGTGATGATTGATTTGCAGCTGGGAGATGAGTCATTTTAAAGGGGACATGGGGGTGCACAGACAATTCAGGGCTGAAGGGGCGATGCGTGCAAGGGTCCCAGGGTAGACCAGGTAACCATATATTCAATACAAAAGAAGAGAATGAAGGGCAGTGCCTCTGGAGCTTGGTGGTGAGAAGTCAAGAGACAGGAAAGAGAGATTGAAAGGGGCATGACCACCAGTACCTTATGCATTATGCTAAGGGTTTTAGTTTTACTGTCAAGAAGAAGTGTTGGAAGGGGGGTGGACAGTTAATCAAGAGCATGTTCCCTAGGCTTCCTCCTCTACCCCTCCATTCAGGGTCACAGAAAATGTGCTGGAGGGAAGTACATGTGGTAAAAATTGGTTCAGGGGAATCAATCTCTCATTTGACCAATGAGTATTTTTTTTATATATATTTTTTATTGATTTTTTACAGAGAGAAAGAGAGAGGGATAGAGAGTTAGAAACATCGATGAGAGAGAATCATCAATCAGCTGCCTCTTGCACACCCCCTACTGGGGATGTGCTCGCAACCAAGGTACATGCCCTTGACAAGAATCGAACCCAGGATCCTTCAGTCCGCAGTCTGACGCTCTATCCACTGAGCCAAACCAGTTTTGGCCAATGAGTAATTATTATATGGCAAGCACTGCTCTAGGTCCAAGGGAATGGAAAATGAACCAGAATGTTACTGATCTCCCCTCCAAAGGTTTACAGTCTAGGTAAGATACAACATGCATTGTAGTCACATGAATAAATAATTAATTGCAATTGACATAAACCAACAAAAGAAGAGTGTAGCAAGAACTGTGGGTGAGAGTAGGAGGGGAAGCCTCAGGGAAGGTTTCCACTGAAGGCAAAGCTGACTAAATATTATGGGGAGAGTTATTGGAAAGTCACTGGAAGTTTCCATTAGATTCCTGTTTTCTACCCCCACCCTTTACTTCATCAGGTGACCTTGACTCATGCTTTCTTCCTCTGTATATAAACAGCAGTGAGTGAGTAGCAAGGTCCAGTGTTTTCTGGCAGAAACACAAAGGCCCCCTTGTGCGGAGTGGCATGACTG